CTTAATAAATTGTTATATATGGTGTCCGGAAACTAATCCGACAAACGAAGACAGCAAATTCTAGGAATGATTTTATATCGATTTGACATAAATCGTCTAATCTAAAAAAACTTGATAGGGCTCTTTGAAGATCGTTGTTTATTTGGAAGGATCAAACTTATGTGTTAACTCTTATACGGACAGCCTTTTGATGTAAAAATAATATTTTCATTGTAACCATAGGCGTCACATTTGCGAGGATCAGCTAATATTTTTAATATTCTTTTTATCTTCGACTTTTTAGTATTTTTAATATCAAAATAGAAAGTTTCAGAGTATTCTAGATTAAAGAGGTACTTTTGTCTTGAGTCTTGAATCTATTTGAAATATTTTTTTTGCACGATAATTACAAAATTACTAATTCTTTGTTAATATAATTAATATAATATAATATATTATAGTTAACTTTATAAAACAGATAAAGAAAAATTCTATTAAAAAAAGGTTGGAATTTTGTATTAAATATTATCACAAACTGGGAAAAATTATAACAAAACATAAAGTGATTCGTTTCTCTGATGATTGTCGAATCCTTGTGAAGATTTCCCTATTGTTCGTACACTCATTAGTGGTGTGTTAAATTCGTACCCAAAGCTGATCACGTGTTGGTTAAATGGTTGAAAATAGTCTAATGGTTTTATATATCCATAGACACAAACCTCGGGATTTAAAGCGGGAGACCCTGCTAATAAGGATTTAAATATTTACGAACAGTGGTCCTGAAGTGAGCCGGATAACCGTTATGTAGAAACCATAAGTTCTGTCGAATGTCCAGAGGTATGTCATCTAATAAATTTTGTAAAATGTTCTGTAATTTTAAAGCCAAAAAAGGTATAGGTAATAGTCAAATTTTACACAAACTTTCTACTAAAGCATGTGCGACAATTTTTTGTGCACCGTACTTGAATATTTCAAGAAGTAATTTGAATTTTATATCAACAATACTTTTTACAGATGAAGCTACTTTCCAAAGGCATGGTTTGCACAATCTTCATTCATGGGATGACAAAAATTCTAACGTTGTATGTATGTAAGTCATAATTGCAGCGTAATTTTATTTTGAAGGTTTGGGCAGGAATTGTAGGAAATATATTTGTTGGCCCTTTTATTTTCCAGCATTACTTGATGATACACCATTAGATGTGCTCCTGCTCTCAGCACAATAACAGTTAGGCAATGGCTTAATTTAAAATACCCCAATCGTTGGATAGGTCGCGGCAATGAAGCACCTGGATTTTTTTCTTTGGGGGCATATAAAAAGTATTGTTTATACCACTCCAGTTAACCCACAAGAAAGAATTTTTCTGACACCTGACGAGATCCTCAACAGTCCCGAAATTTTTGCACGAGTACGCCACAACTAGCAGGCGTATTAGACTTCATTTGGAACAAAATGGAAATTATTTTGAAAATATTGTTTAACAAGTAATAAATAACAAAGGTGATTCAGAATATTTTTTTTCAATAAAGATCTTCGGTCATTTTCCTCGTGATGAGGCTGTATTCTCCCAGTTTCTCGAAGTCTTCTTTCTATTGCTGAGAAAGTCTATCTGTGGGGAATTGGTCGATCTGGATGCCCCTGGTGCAGCACAGTTTCTCCAACAAAAAATAGTTGCAGCATGCCAGCATATTCCTTATTAGTAAAGTTATTTGCCATAATTCTAAAGTTATGCTTAAAAAAATAAAATGATTGACTAGCAAATCCAAGGAAGGAATCCACTCGCAAAAGGTTTCAACCACTTCCAAGGGGCAGAAGTTTTTGAAGAATTGTTGAGAAGTTGCACATGCATTAGTATTGTATCTTTTTTGTTTTCAAATTACGGCCGCTATTCCATACTTTTTTGGAAACTTTGAACTTTTTAAGGGGTGGACATTTTACTAAGGTCATCTTTATGTAAGACGTGTTCTTTTTAGCCGTAGATTCACCGGTACCATTTGTTGCTACTTCTTTTGAAAACACTGTATCAATTTTCTAGTAAAAAATATATTTGGATAGACAGAAACGTACGTAGTTTTGGTGTAGTTAAGACCAAGAGGTTTCAAAAAAATAACACCTTGTTTCTAGTAACATAATATACTTAAATAAATAGAGATGCATACAACCAACTCTAGCTCAAGTTTTAAAGTTAGATGAAAAAGAAAATGTTTCATGGTACCACGATGAGAGACCTTGACTTTTATATATACATAGGTAGGTAAGTTGATTTATCATTTGAAATCAGAGTTGTGAATGGTCACGATCAGTTATCCTAAGATCCTTACGTACCTCACGTTGATCTTATTTTGATTCAAGGAATCTTGTGTCTTATATTGTTCATATATAAACACACACCCTATACAGGTTGGCCCAGTTTTAGCGTACAAAAATTTACCAGAGAGTAGACCAGACCAAAATAAGGTTAAAGTTCTTATAAAATATTTTTCTATGATGCACTCTCACTGAATTACAGGGTGTTGTTTAGAAAAAAATAATAACTTTCAGCAATAACTCATAAACCTTTTCAGGGATTTAAGTAATTTTTGGGTGAAGTGTAGATCTAATCAAGGTCATTAAAACTACATGGTGCATATTTCGATCTGACGCCAGGGGCGGCCTAGGCCAACTTGTTCTGAAGGTTGTGTCTTCATAACGTTTGCATAATATTCTAGTTTTATGTAATTTGATTAAGTTTTCCTAAATCCGCAATCGATTCTGAACAAAAAATGTGCTTTTGTTTTATAGCTCAAAAATGGTCCTTTTCGAGTAAATTGGGTCTATAGACTGCATTAATTCGTGGAAAAATGTATGTACAGATTTTATTTGTTGTTATCTAGAAGGTACCTGTCATTATAAAAAACAAAGTTATTTACCGTCGAGGTGCAGATTCTCATGTATTATTTAATATTTTGTTAAGTACGTCTAGGGGAACTAAAAATAAAATTGAAAATTATGGAACAGAAACGAAATTATGTTAGCAAAATGATAATATTAAAAATAAAATTAGAAAACAATTACATATTTCAATAAATCGATGCTTGACATCGTTTGACCAGGAATTGTAAATCCTTCGCAAATCAGTGGTTACTCGAATTTGCTCGGCGGCTGCTTTAATTTTTTGAAGTAAATCGTCTCTCGTGTTACTGTACTGGGTTTGGCGTACACCAGTTGCTTCATATGACCCCAGTAAAAAAAATTTAGCGGGTTGAGGTAAGGGAACTCGGGAGGTCACATAATAGGTCCACTTTTCCCAATACAACAATCTGGAAAATGTAAATCGAACCACGCATATACCTGTCTTCGAGTAGATGCTCCATCTTGTTGGTAGAACATTTGATTTCGCAAAACTAAGGGAACGTCATCTAGTACAATATCAACGATATTTTCTAAAAAATCCGTGTATCTCTCTGAATTCAAACGGTCTACAATAATTTGAGGAGGCAGAATGACTCCGTCCAGGATTTATGGAGAATTTTCTTTGAGACGCGGAGGGTCATCACATGCGGATTTTCAATGGACCAGACATGAACATTTTTTAAATTATTTATACCATTTCTCGTAAAGCTAGCTTCATCGCGCCACAATATCTTTTGACGGAAATTTTCGTCATTATCGATATTTTCTAACAACCGCCTGCAAAACTGTGTCTTTTTTTCTGAATCACCAGGATGCAAAGTTTATACTTTGTGTAGGTGGTATGGGTGCAGTTCTTCTCGGTTTAAAATTCTCCAGACGCTGCTTCGTGGAATACCTACTTGCCTTGATATTCTTCGGACACTGGTGGAACTCGTTGGAATACGTGCTGTAAAGGTTGCCTTCTGTTTGGAAACTTACGTAGATATTCTCGTGAGGCCGCCAATAAATTTCTATCACAGAAATCGTGGACAAATATCATATCGGCATATTCGTTGTTGGAAAATTCCATAATACTCAATATCTTGTTGTTTTGGAAACTTAATTTTTCGTAACTTCAAGTATTGTAATTAATTTTGACATGTACGCTTGTAAACATCTTTGTTTTTTATAATGATAGGTACCTACTAGATAACAACAAATAAAATCTTTACATGCATTTTTCTACGAAAACGGTTCATTTTTGAGCTATGAAACAAGAGCACATTTTTTGTTCAGAATCGATTGCAGATTCAGAAAAACTTTATCAAAATACATAAAACTAGGATATGCAAAAATTATGAAGACATAACCTTGAGGACAAGTTGACCTAGGCCACCCTGGCGTCAGATCGAAATAAGTACCATGTAGTTTTATTGACCTTTAATAGATGTACACTTCACCCAAAAATCACTTAAATCTCTGAAAGGGTTTTTGAGTTATTGCGGAAAGTTATTATTTTTTTCTAAACAACACCCAGTAACTCGGTGAGAGTGGATTGCAGCAAAATATTTTATAGGAATTTTAATCTTATTTTGGTCTGGTCTACACCCTGGTAAATTTTTGTACGCTGACAGTGGGACGCCCTGTATATCTCCGCCGTTAAACCAACTATATTTAAAACAAAACTGTTCTAGAAAAAATTTTCAGACATAAACGAATTGTGATATCAGTTTTTTAGTTGTGGGTGGTGAATATTACGGCTCCCTACATTGCTTCAGGAAAATGAACATTGTACATAGTTAACTATAGGTGGTCTAGAAAAACTAAAAATTGTTTCTAGCTTCCTATAATATACCTATGTTATATACTTTTTTAAGAGAATAATTCTTTTTTCACTTATATTGACCGAAATACCCATAGGTAAGTGATAAATATCGGATATGCTATATAAACAGTATAAATAAACAATTTTACGCAATATGTCTGGAAATTACTCGAAAAACAGGTACACATTTCCTCGAATCAGTCAAGTGTTTTTCATATCGACTGTAATTTCCCATAGTTAAAAAAATCGCACACTTAACCCCTGGCTTATCGTTTATCGGGGATAATGCATTAGCATCTTGCTTTATATACTGATGTTTGAAAGATGTTTTATATCAGTCAAAATCAATTATAAACTAAAAGATGAGTCGTTTGTTAGTTTTGTTAGTCGCAACTCTATTCGTCTGCGTGATTGCTGAAGAAGGCTCGTTTAATATCACCCAAGGATATTGTAATACCGCTCTTGCGAAGGATATGGTATATCGCGAACATGTGTACAAGTATTTTATACCATTGGTAGAAAGGAATGCTACGGTAAGAATGAATAGTAAAAATAATACAATTACAATGATTCTTTGCTGCCTAGAAAAGTTTGTTTTATATTTGCCTTACTGTTTGTTAGATATTTTACACAGCATAGCAAACTTAAATATGTTGAGTTCCTTATCTATACGTACTGGCTTTAAATAAAAAAAGATACTTTATTATTAGCTCTCGCGTATTTTGTTCTATTTTAAAGGTAAATAAATAGACAGTAGTAATCTATATTATGCTAATAAGCGGCAATACTCGTTATAGTAGCATAAATAGGCTAAATCTATGGTCAAGCCGTGTGCCTCTCTATGCTCACAATATACATTGCTACTGAGTACCAAAAATACATACCTATGCCATACACTCGAGCAAACAAAGTATCAACCTCACTCCACACGCATAAACGACAATAAAATGCACGACCAACGCCCCTAAAAAAACTTTCAACGGCATGACAGGTCGACAGGGTAGTGCCGATAAATACGTATCGAATAAATTGATCGATGCGAAGTTTCAGAGGCAGACATGTACATGTTTATTGTATTACGACGCGGATTACCAAAATGTGAAGTAGTTGATACTTCGCCATTAGTAATTTTTTTTTATTTATTAATAACTTTGACTATTTTAGATATGCACCCGTAACCTCGGAAACGGTCATTTTCGTTTTTGGATTGGGTATTTACATCGCCGGAGACGATTAACCGCGAAACTCTTAGGACTACTGTTAATTAGTCACTTTCGTTATGAGTTAAAAAAATTATTATTTTGCTGATACTTATTATTACGTACTATACATACATATTTTATGGTAAGTTCTATGTGAAGAGTTTAGTGTAGAAAAATAGACACTGCCCTTTTTTACTTCATACTAAGATGCAAATACTTATATATACATTCTTAAAATGTAAAGAGTGCAGTTATAATAAGACAATGGTCGTGTCACTTTTTGTTTGAACAAAATTACATAAAAGAGAACATTTCCGATCTGTAGGTAGGTATTAAACTAATTCAAACAAATTCAACTATTTTTTGGGGGTTTACATATCTAGATTTTTGGTATCGGAAAACATTGTTTGACTTCATTTGATGAGATCTTTTTTAATTTTTGAATTCTGTTTTATAATGTTCTATCGTTCTATAGGTTAAAATCTACAGTTATGTATAAATAAGTTAGTAATCAAAAATATGTATCTAGTTTGTCTACACTGTAGGTATATTTTTGTATAATAGCAAATTTATAATTTGTCAAGTGTTTCAATAAAATTAGAATGTTTTCATATGTATGTACCTACCTAATAGTAAAAATATAGGTAATACTATTTGATTAGTTTTGGTAGTGAAACGCAACTACATGGGCAGACAATGATTCTGAATAAATTGAATAAAAATTTCAATTTTTTTGTGGTTCTGAAAATAAAAATATTAAAATTTAAGAGAAGAGATACATGGAACCTATGAAATTTTGTTTTAATCAAAACTTTAAGAAAATACTACCCGAAAACATCCTTACAACAAGACCATTAACACGAAGAAAAAAGTTACAAGAAAAAAATTCAGTAGTTTCTTATACCTATTATGGATACCAATGTGTACTAATTTTCTTTTTCGGCTAGGTTAAACTATATTTGTAGACTTTCCAAAACACACAAACGTGTTCAATATTACTTAATAATAAGCATATTTGTTTCCAGTCTTCTTGGTATGGAGACGAAAAGGTTTACTGCGTGATGGCTTTGAACGAAAATGATGAGTCTCAGGGTGGAGTTGCGTTCATCAAAGAAGGAGGTTTTGGCCATCATTTCGTCACGATAGAGATGCATTCCAAGAGGGGAAACACTTTGGAGTATGACGTACAGATTTACGGAAAATAAGGAAGTGAAGATCAATTTTATTCGTTAGATTTTGAGATTAAGATGAATACTTTTTTTATACAAATAAATTTATTTTAATATATTTCTTTTATTTTCTTACTCTTATTTGATATGTCAATCGTGTCACTTTCATACAATCGGAAATACTTGATTTTAACAAAAAATGTAAAAAACACTATTAAACTTGCATTGGTGAAAAGTGTTTAAAAAATCAACCATTATTCTATGAATAACAGCAGATAAATCAAAATTTATGACAATAAATATTTCATTGTATTAATAAAATTATTGTTAATTTTTGTTTTGTTATTCGAGCTACATTTTTGCGTAAGTTTATCATAACTGGAATACATTACATGAAATTTAAATTTAATACTGTAGAAATGAAATTTCTAGAAAATTGTTAATTTTTATGTATCAATAAATCGGGAGATAAACAGAAAGTGAGTAATACTTTTTTAAGCCAAAAAAGTCTTGCAAAAGTTACAAAACTTACCTATTCCACTGATTTTAGTGAACGCGTAAAAATTCTAATTTATTATTCAGTTCGGAGTAACCAAAAACAATAATATTTACTTAAATCAAAACGCTGACATTTCGAAATGCAAAAAACTTGAGGAGGGTTGTTTTCACAGATGGAACCCGCAAGGTACGTGGATACCGCTCCATACTTGGGGATTTACAACGAGTTCAAGAGTTCAACGTGTAGCTTGTTCTCAGCAAACCGCTAAACTGTAACTAAGTCCTTTACATCAAAGAGGCAATGTAATTTTCAAACGAAGAAACCATGATGATGAACGAAGCCTCAAATTCACAAAAAAATGCTCTTTAATATTTAGAGGATATACTCAAATTTTATTTATATTCAGTTGCAATTAAACCGCTTTTCTGCGGCCTTTTCGAATGCTGTTGGGACTTGGCGGACTAGATTCACCTCCAGACGATTCACTTGATCATTAATTTCTCTACGATTTATGGTTACAGAAATATAAGTCACCGAAGCTGGTCGGAGGATCATTTTCGAAAATCTGCTACATCCACAATTTTACAGTTACAATTGGATGCCTCTGGTGGTAAATTCTTCTTGCTGAGGCAAAGTCCTAATATATTCCGTATTCCTTGGATACGTGGAAAAGTACTTATACAGGGTGTCTCGTGATCGATAACACATGCGTACAGCTTGTTTTTGATGTTGTAAGTGAAACTTCATTATGCCCAGAACGCCAGGGATGGACTATGCCCAATGGTTAACAACCCAGAATTTTTGCATATATGACGATCGCAATCTGCCTGCATAAAAAATAGTTCCCTGGCAACGATAATATCCTCTTGGTTCAACTCGGTAAAATTAACAGTTTAGGAAATATTTGTGATTTTATGTCACAGTGCACATCGACCGGCCCCTCCACCATTTTTTGTTTTTAAATTTTTATTGGTCATAATTACTGTCTGCTAATATAAATTTCACTAACAAAATTTGACAAACACACTTTATACGTAACAAAAAACGTCAAAAACAAGCTGTCCCCATGTGTTATCGATCACCAAATTTGCATCATGCCGATGTTAATAGTTTAGAGAGAGTTTTGTGGCAATACAGTATTCTTATAAAGTATTTGTGAAATTTACTGGTCTTTAGATAATTGGGAAATCAAATAAGAAGATACTTAAGTACCTACGTTTCTATTTACCATTTTCTATTGATTGCTAAATGTGTAACAATAAATTCAATTTCTAATATTTTTGAGAGAATTCAAAGCACTATACATCACAAGAAATGCTGTCCTTGGGATGCAATGCATGCTTCGCAGCGTCTCCGCATTGATCGTCTTACACTCCTCATAGTTCCAGCCGTACTGTGTACAGGGTGATTCAATATATTTTGAGCCCCCTTTAACTTTTTTGTTTTAAGAGTTATAACAAAATGTGAAATGTAAAACTTGCACGATTTTTTATGAATTTTTTGAAAATGATAGTAGAAAAACAAATGAAGTCCAAACAAAATGGCCGCGGATGTTAACTTTGTTAAGTTAAATGGAACACCCTATATATTTTTACATATTTGGATAGAACGTTCCCTGTCGAGCATAGCCATATAGGATTTATTGGGTTCATCTGTAACAATAAGCAAGATACTTTAAAAAAAAGAAAAGAAGGTTTTTTATTAAGAAAATAATACATCTTGTAATTTTTAGATCTCTTTTAGGCATTTCTGCCTTTTTTCCAATTACGTAAGGATTTACAGATTTAGGTATAATATATTTTGATATATCGCACATTGATACGGTCCAAAATGCGTATAGGTAATGTAACGAAATCTTACTAATTAGGCCGGGGGAGGTGTAATTACTCATGGACATTATATGATAGGTCGTGTCAGTGACAGGTAGTAATGTCTTGACAACATTGTAATTGGTTGATAGATATATTTAATTAAAATAAGTTACACATAAGTAGAAAATTATTTAGAATTAAAATAGAGTATGGAGAAGAACTTTGCTCTATTTTAATTCCTATAATAACGAGCGTTCAAATAAAAACGTGGTCGAAGTCGGCTCTGACACATTGGACGTAGGGAATAGCTTATAGCGACCAACTTAACCTCATTTCTCAACGAGCTGTATAGCAGCTGTCAGTTTCAATAACGTTAATGACTATATAACTTTATTTTAAAGAATAATCGTGATAACAATAACAAACAATTAAAGGAGAACAAACGCAAATCTTTTTTTAACACTGTGTGGCAGGTACCGACAGATACTCCCACCATTTGTGATAAAACACGTACAGAAGTTCTTGACGCATTTTCCATTATTTGTTGGACATTTTCTTTTAATTCTTCAGTCCGCTTTTTAGGTCGGCTGCTTCCTTCTTTTCTTGTTACACTGCCCGTTTCACGAAAAACATTAACACAACGCTGAACTGCACTTTGAAAAATTTTGTACTCAACAACGCCGGGAAATTGATTTTGAAATTCTATGAAACATTCCTCAATAGAATACTTCCATATTCCATCAATCTTGCGTCCATTTCTAAAGTAGGACTCTATGGTAAACAGTTTTTGTTCTTGAGAAAACACCATTTTAAACGCTTTTTAAAACGAAAATATTCAAATTGATAGAGGCGATATAGCGCTTTGACAGATGACGTTTAAGTTCATTTGCTATACGCTACGCCCTACGTCCAAATTTTCAGAACCAACTTGACCACGTTTTTATTTGAACCCTCGTTATTTCAATTTTCTACTTCTGTGTAACCCATTTTAATTAAATAATAATACAAACTGCCAAACAATAACAATTGTCATGACATTATCTGTCACTGTCACGGCCTACCATATAACATTGTCCATGAGTAATTATGCATCTCACGGCCTAATTAGTGAGATTTAGTTAAAATAGCTATACGCATTTTGGACCATATCAATGTCTGATCTATCAAAATATATTATAACTAAATCTGTAAATCCTTACGTAATTGGGAAAAGGCAGAAATGCCTGAAAAAGGTTTAACCATTACAAGATGTCTTATTTTCTTAATAAAAAACCTTATTTTCGTTTTTTAATAGTATCTCGCTTATTGTTAGCGATGGACCCAACGAACCCTACTTGACTATGCTCGACAGGGAATGTTCTATCCAAATATGTAGAAATATACAGGGTGTTCCATTTAACTTTACAAAGTTAACATCCGCGCCCATTTTGTTTGGACTTCATTTGTTTTTCTACTATCATTTTCGAAAAATTCATAAAAACTCGTGCAAAATATAGTGAATCACCCTGTACAGTTGCAAACCCGTCTACAATGCGTTGTCGAAGTACTTCTACATTGGCAACTGGAGTACGATATACTATAGTTTTGAGGTAGCCCCAAAAAAAGTGATCCAAGGGATTCAGGTCGGGGGAACGAGCCGGCCAAGCTATGTGTTCCCCTCTACCCATCCAGTGATTAGGATACTGATTATTCAGCAAATGTTTAATGGTAAGGCTGTAATGAGGTAGCGCCCCATCATGCATATACCACAATAATTGACGTGGAAATTCTTCTTATAGGAACCTTTAATAAGTTCTACCATCGAGGATTCTGGGTAAAAAGTAGGGACCAACCAAGTAACCGCCCACAATGCCAGCCCAAACATTCAGAGAAAATTATTCTTGGAATCGACGTTAGGAAATAATATGAAGATTTTTATCCGTCCAAAATATTAGGTATTGAATTTATTGTTACACATTTAGCAGTTGCCCTAGAACAAGGGTCGGCAACTGGCGGACCGCGGTCCAGATCCGGACCGCGGAAGGTAAAATACTGGACCCCCAACATTTTTTTAAAGTATAAATTACTCAGATAAGTTATTTAAAAAATGTTTTTTGCGTTTAAGTGCCAATCTTATCATTTTTTCTAGTACTTTACAATTGTATGAGTGTTTTGAGTTCTTAATTAGTAAGCAGATTAAATTTGAGTCCAAATTAAAATTAAAAAATGAGAAATATGAATTTTTTCTGGACCTCGTTAAAAATTTTCAAAAGTATCCGGACCCCACCTAAAATTACTTGTCGACCCCTGCCCTAGAAATTAAAAAAAGTACAAAAATTTTGTTAAGCTAAGAAAATATTAGATTGGAAATTTTTAATAAAATATTTTATTTGCTTTTAAACTTTAATTTTGAAAATTAATACACTACTTTAATATTTTTAAATCAGCATAAATATTTGTTGACAGAAAAATTTAAAAATATAAAATTTTATGTAAAAGTTAATACATTTCCATATAAAAATTTAGCTCTGGAATTTTAAATTAAAAAAATAGGACCATAGATTCGTGGACTCAAAATAGGCAGATTTAGGCTAATTCACCTATAACCGAAATCGCTTCGTTTGGCCGTTAGATGGCCTCAAAGTTCGTGAAAATATTTTGAATTTTGTAAATAACTCGAATACGTATTAATCGATTTTGATTATTTTTGGGGTGTGGACTCTTGTTTTCAATCTACACATTTTCGTGTTATACA